GCGGGTGCCTCAGTTGGGCTAGACGCCATTTCTTAATTTTCAAACGCCTAAGCATTAATCGGGACGATGACCAACAGCCTAACGCCTAGACGGCGCTAAACGGAGATTTTTAGAACAGTGCTAACCATAGACCTCGAACACTTAAATCTGGAATGAATCTCGCTCGATTGCTAGATAAAGCTACAAAAGAGTTCAACATGCAATCTAATCCTCAATTTTTATAAAATATTGAAAGTTGATCAATTAACTAAAAAATTTAAACAAGAAAATCAATAAATTAATTGAAAATTTCCACGTTAAGACATGGAAAGCGGCAATATCGCTTAACTAAAAATAAATAAATAAAAGTTTCAAATAATTCATCGACGCTGCGTCGAAAAAAATAAAAAATAAAAAATAAAAAATTATAAACAAATAAATGAAAAATGGTTCTCATCGGGTTTTTTTTTTAAATTTCGTTATCGTAATCATTTATTGTACGTGGTTAGAAATTATTTTTAAATTAAAAATTAAATATAAATAATATTTAATAAAAATTAACCTAAACGATCACCATCACAAGATTCTTAGATTCCGAGAATCCTTTTCCCAAATAAAGAGATGCGCGCATTTGCGGAAGAACTTAATTAATGCTGCTCAGGAATCACCTCTCGCCATTTGGAATCGTCTCAACAATTTCACATGAAGCTGAAGCAGCTGACAGCTGGCGTGGCGGCTCTGCTGCTGCTTTTTCTCTTGCCGGCGGCAGCTTTCACCGACGCCCAGCAACTCCAAACCTCTCACAACGTGTTCGGCCCTCTTCGACCGAATCGTATTACAGCAAGTTCGCAGTGCTCCAGCCTGCGACGATCAGCAACGATGCGCTCCAGATCACGCCGGACTCCGCCGGAAACTTCACCCTCAAAAACCGCTCAGGTAGAGTCTTCTACAACCGCCCTTTCACGCTCTGGGAAGATTCAGGTTCAAATTCTTCCGATCCCGCGGCAAACGGAAGCCACGTGGCGTCTTTCAATTCGTCGTTCCTGTTTAACGTCTTTCGTCCCAACAGCTCCGCCATCCCGGGCGAGGGCCTGGCGTTCCTCATCGCGCCGGATATGATCCTCCCGGTGGGCCAGTCACGGCCAATACCTCGGTTTGACCAACGCCACCACCGACGGCGATCCCAATAACCACCTTCTCGCCGTCGAGCTCGACACATTTAAACAAAGTTTCGACCCGGACGACAACCACATGGGCATCAACATCAATTCAATCCGGTCCAACAAGACCGTTTCGCTCTCGGATCTGGGTATCCAGATCTCGCCGTCCCGATACCCGATTTTACATGGTCTGGATCGAATACCGGAGGCGATTCGCACCGGTTGGACGTGTACATGGCCAAGCAGCAGAAGGACCTACAGACGAACGGGTTCGTCATCCGGGCCAGACCCACAAGCCCAATCCTAACCAAGAACAACATCAACCTCAAGGACATTGTGAAACAGCAATCTTACTTCGGTTTTGCCGCTTCGACCGGAACCGTGATCGAGCTGCACTGTGTACTGAAGTGGAATCTGACGGTGGAGCTTCTTGCCAGGTGGCGAGGGTAGGGATAGCAAAACGGGGTTGAAGATTGGGCTGGGGGTGGGCGTAGGCGTGCCCGCGGCGGCGCTGATGCTGTTGGGTCTGGGCGGGTTGGGGTATTACTTGTACAAGCGGCGGAAGGCGGCGGCGTCGGACGAGAATATTTTGGGGGCGCTGAAGAGTCTTCCGGGCACTCCGAGGGAGTTTAGTTTCAAGGAGTTGAAGAAGGCGACGAACAACTTCGACGAGAGGCACAAGTTGGGTCAGGGCGGATTTGGGGTGGTGTATAGAGGTGTGCTGCCCAAAGAGAATTTGGACGTGGCGGTGAAGAAATTTTCCCGGGATAATCTCCAGGGTAAAGACGACTTTTTGGCTGAGCTCACCATTATTCAACCGCCTCCGCCACAAGCATCTCGTCCGATTACTTGGTAAGTTACCAATCCTTTCTTTTTCACTTTGTTTATTTTTTTAATCGTTTTGATATTTGGATTGGATTTTTAAGCTAGGTAAAACAACACATTAGACTTAAGTCATTTAAAAATTTTAAATGTGATAATTTCTTTTTTACTGTGAACAAAGCAAAGATTAGACGAGGCTAAAACCGCCACATCAACTAGTCTAACAAATTTGTGCAATAAGTTGGTGTTTTTAACATTACTAATTTTCATAGATATGCAAACATAACTGATTATAAACTTTTATTAGAAAATAAAATTGGAGGGCACCAACATTAAGGCAGGAGGAGGCTGAAATGTTTTAATAAGTCTTTATGGCATTCGAAAGAGTAAATTACTGTAGCAAAACCACCAGCCGATCTCATTTTAAAAAAAACATTAAGCCAATTTAGAGTTTTTGGTTGTTTGTTTATTCATTCTTTTGCCGTATTTTCTTTATTAAAATGTTCGTTTTGATAATTATTTTAATTTTCAATCTTTAATTTTAAATGTTAATTTCTTTAACTATATATTATAACGTCATTGGGTTGTGCGTACTAATATTGAGTTTTGCTTTCATCATCAATAATGTATAAACAATTCTCAATATGACAACGTGTCACATTGAATATGAAACTAGCATGACCAAAATTAGTGATTTAATTAAGCCTTTATCCTTTTTGTCAATGATTTAACTTAAAGATTAGGATTGGCTTATGCAAGTATGAATTTATTAACTTAGATTAATGATTATGATTACAAATTATTTAGTGGGTCCGGGATGGAGCCTGAATCTAGCCTGATGGCCCTAATCCTCATTGGACCAAAACTGAATACAATCCGAATTATCTCACCCAACAAAGGCTGGCCCATGTTCGGTGGCGCACGCCGGGTCGTTTTCCGCTCTATTTCTGGGTAGGCCCGATGGCCGCGGACCAATTCTTTGTCTCGTATCTCTTATATGCCAATTACGACTAACGAATATTTAGCACATGCGTATGCCAACTCCCAAAGTCCACGGTCAATGATTGTGCCACTTATCGAATTCATAATCTTTTTGGATCTCTCATTCTGGAGCCGCTTGGATTGAAAAATTCAGACCGAGAAGGAAAGAATGATGGACTCTTTAGTTTGTGTGAGGTGGATCGATGGATGGGCTAATGAGGATGTAAAATTTAAAATGAGTGGTTCGGTTTTCTCGATTCGTTGACTTTGGACTGCGAGATTAGGTGAAGATCTTGATTGGTGATTATAGTTATCATTCCCACATTCAACTAAGAATTTTCCCAAGGAGGAGTTAGGAAGGTGAAGGTGTACAAATCCATCTTTGGGTAGAGAAAACGTACGGACTAACAAAATGAATTTACAATAATCCATAATGTAATGCCCAAATGTGTTACTATTTGACATGGTTAATTGTTGATACAACTTGTTATGTTTTCTTGTACACATTTTGACACATAAAAAACATGCAGGATGGTGCCACAAAAACGGAATGCTACTCATAGTCTACGAGTTCATGCCCAACGGCAGCTTGGATAACCACCTATTTGGCGAGACGGAAAACGCCACCCTAGGTTGGAGCCAGAGATACAAAATCGTCGCCGGAGTGGCCTCCGCCCTACACTACCTCCACAACGAGTACGACCAACGAGTAGTCCACAGAGACCTAAAGGCTAGCAACATAATGCTAGACTCTAACTTCAACTCTCGCCTCGGGGACTTTGGCCTCGCACGTGCCCTTGACAACGAGAAGACCTCGTATGCTGAGCTCGAGGGTGTCCCAGGCACAATGGGGTACATAGCCCCCGAGTGCTTCCACACGGGGAAAGCCACGTGCGAGTCCGACATCTACGGGTTCGGGGCTGTGATTCTAGAAGTCGTGTGCGGGCAGCGGCCGTGGACCAAAATGGGAGGGTTCCAATTCGTTGTGGATTGGGTTTGGTCATTGCATAGAGAGGGGCGCGTGTTGGATGCCGTCGATCAGAGGCTGGGAAATGATTACGTGGTTGGGGAAGCCGAGAGGCTTTTGCTTCTTGGGCTGGCCTGCATGCACCCGATAGCGGGCGAGAGGCCCAAGACCCAAACCATTATCCAAATCATTTCCGGGTCAGTTCCGGTGCCCCGAGTCCCGCCTTTTAAACCCGCTTTCGTGTGGCCCTCCAGCAATATGCCTGAGGGAGTGAGTAGCACAGCCAACACAGTGAATACGACGTCGTCCTGGCCCATTGATATCTCGGTGTCGGATACTTCCGAGTGGACCCTGCGGTACGACAGCCAGGATAGCAATGGAGGAACAAGACGACATAGTGACAGCTTCTCCTTGCTTTAAGATTCTTGTTTTGTCGTTACTCATTAATCCCACGTTCTCCCATTTTATTTATTTTACCTTTTTTTTAATTTAAAAAAATAAAAGAAATTTCTTTGTTTTTTGCTTGAGAAATTTCCTAGTTTTAAATTTGTTTTATTTTCTATTTTGTTTTCACCGAAGGTGCCTTGTGCATGTGGAAGTTTGTATATTTAGTCTCAATTTTTATAATTATATAGATCTTGATTCTATTTTCCGTACTTATGAATAATTTTTACTAATTAATGAATTTTTTTTGTCAATTAAAAGAGGGTGAAAAAATAACTTAGTTTTTTATCACAAAAAAATAAAATAATGGACAATAATGTAATTTTACTGTTTTTATTGAAGTTTCACCTACAGGTGATATTAAAATATCTCTAATATTTAAAATTAAAATAAATAAAACAAAAATCTCCCACTCTACCCACGTTCTCTCTCTCTCTCCCTCTCTCCTTCTCATTTTCTAAGAAAAATTGTTCATACATACAAAGTGTGTAGGCAAATGCTATTGTAATAGAAGCGAACAATTAAGTTTGGTAAGCTAATCCCTACTTTTGTGAATTACAAATTATTTATCGTCGCGTTAATCTTCTTTTGTGGCGGGTTATTATTAACAATATTTTCAAAGTTAATCGAGAAATGATTTTTCAACTAGTTATATTTTCTTGTGCCTATCACATTCATCACGTCATGTTTACATAATGCACGTTGTAGACTCAAGAAAAAATATCCTACCGACACCATAGGTTTTCTCCCCTTAGAACCAAATTGCTGGGTTGATTGACTACTCTAAGATCTTAACAAAATTGTAATTCTGAAGAAATCTCCACTAGAAAGTAGAACCAGAAGGAACAGAGAGATTATCTGAACAAATCTGGTTTAACCTGTTCAATTAGGCAACAACTTAATATGAAGTTACTTATTTCAAGATATTATATGATCTGTAATATAGTTTATTTTGGCATTAGGCTCATTTCTCTCTGGTGCCACATCAGCAAACTTAGGAGGGGGTGCGTACGAGTGCAAGGGCTTCACCAGCTTGCAGTTTTGTGGAGAGTCTGAGCTTTCTGTAGTCTTCGTAACTAAAAGGAACGTAAAGTCGAGGGTGCTCGGAATCCACAAATTCCGGTGGAGCTTCCACTACCTCTTTCTCCCTCGGTCCCAAGAGGAATGTAGCGATCGAAATTCGAATTGTTGCCTCCCTGCATTGTACTCTATGCTTCACATTGCACAACCTCCCATTGCTCCATGCCTTGAAATAAAAATATCAACGACATAAGAAAAATGGACAAATGAAACATGTTACAAAGAATTGGAGAGGCACTAAACAGACAATAAAGTACCTTAGCAACATCTCCGAGATTAACAAGGAGAGTGCCTGGGCAAGGATCAACGGCTACAAAGGCGCCGGATTTGTCCATCACTTCCAAACCACCGACATCTTCATCGTCTTGAAGAATGGTTAGAAATCCTGAGTCTGTGTGTAATTGTACACCAGAGGATCCAACTGATTCAGGAGTGAAGTTGTACTTGTTTATCCTGAACTGGCAGGGCCACCCTTTGAGATAATCACTATCAGCCAACCCTAAACTCTCTGCCAACCTTTTTCCTATGTCCGCAATCTGCTCATACACTGCTTGCGCATACTTCTCTATCACCTCTCTGCTAAATTAGTAACAAAAACAACTTTAAGACGAGTTTTTCTACTATGCATCAACGCAGTACATTGCTCATATTAACGACTAGATTTAAATGTGCTAGATGAAACCGTCGTATATAACATGTGTGCATAAACTTATGTTTTTGTGCTTTTAACTAGTGACAAGTCCCAATCGACATGATCTATTAAGGTTGTAATTTTTTCTTCATTCAATAGTAGTCGTCAAATGAGAATTAGAGTTTCGAGTTTGGGGTTGACATGTAGACCAAATAAAATAGAGTAATGCTATGGAAACTAAATTTATAGACTAAATTTTCAAACTAAATAATGTGTCATCAATAGGAAATGAGCACGTTTATCAACATTTAAGTAATAATTCAATCATCAACTTCCATTATCTGTAGTTTATAAAATTTAATCTATAAATTTAGTCCCCTAGCATTACTCAATAAAATATATGATTATTGATTAATCTAGAGATAATGTTGTAACATTCTTTTCATTCAACAACCATTGTCTAAGATTTGACTGAGAGTCACTAAACCAAATAATCACGCGGATTAATGAGGTTGTGTTTTCTTGTTTTCAACAAGCTAAAATGTAATCAAATTACTGATACCAAGTAGAAAACTAGTAAAATTATCAGAAAATAAAAAACTAACCTCTGGTAGGAAGAAGCATTCAACTGAGAGCAAAAGCTGTCGACAGCCTGACCCGATCCCAAGTCGTAGAGCCCCAAAGCTTCGTAGAGAGGGTTGACTTTGCTGGGAGCCATGTACCCACTGCCCGCTATCACATCCTTGTTCTGCTTCTTGATCTCCATGGGCAGGTCCAGCAAAGATCTGACCACTGATTTCATCTCTGACATCAGAGCCGGTGGGATCATGTGGTTCACAAGCCTGAAGCATCCCCATGTCTCTGATGCTTCCCTCAGCTTCCTGTACTCTTCTGCATCTGGAAATTTTTTCAGATCAATGGCTGGGATTGTCCTGCAATCTTCCTCTCCTTCTCCCATTTCTGAATTGTTGAGACTTCGAATACAAAAGTGGATACTACGAGCCTTCCGAACTCCCCTTTTTATTTGGACATTTGGATCGGATTGTTCATTTGGGATTGAATGAGTGTACCATATGCATTTGTTTTTGACTAATTAAGGGGTCGGCAAGAACAAAAAGATTAGCACGTCTTTCATGTGAGATAAGAAATTCTTACGTCCGACCGTTTGCGGCCAACCGTACAAAACTAGGACGTTGTCTGTAGTTTTGTATACTTCGGAACCACTCGTGGTCCCACCTGTCTGAGAAAAGTCGTATACGGTCGGTTTTCCAGAAGAATTCCTCCGGCAGTTCGCTTTCGGCCGAGAAATTAAGCAACATAATAAGAAAGGAAACAAGATTAATGTAAATCCTCATCATCAATTTATTCATTTTTTTTGGGTCGAAAAAAATCATCATCAGCATGCACTTTCAATTATCTAGTCTTCACTTAATACATTCATCATTTAACATTTATATAGTTAGATATGATATTCTCTGTTATCGACTACATATATAACTGTTAATAACTGTTAATAATGCTAGGCATCTCACATTTTGTGACAAATATGCAATATGTGATAAGCTTAATATATAGATGTTCACAAAAATGATAATCAAGTGTTACTTGACTAAATAATCATTGCATGTCTTAAGGTTGTAGTAGAAATCTTAACTTTGGTGGGAAGAGGCATCTAACGCGCCTAACGGAGAGCAAAAGCTATAAACAGCCTGATGTGAGGCCAAGTCATAGAGACCAAAAGTTTCATAAAGTGGGTTGAGTTTGCTTGGTGCTATGTAGCCAGCTAAGTCTTTGCCACCTTTGTTCTGCTTCTTGATCTCCATATGGGTAGGTCAAGCAAAGATCTGACCACACATTTCATCTCTGACATCAGAGCCACTGGGATCCTGTGGTTCACAAACCTGAAGCAACCCCATGTCTGTAATGCTTCCCTCAGTTTCCTGTACTCTTCTTCATCTGGAAAAATTTTCAGATTAATGGCTGGGATTGTCTTGCGGTCCTCATCACCATCTCCCATATTTTTCTTCGGATTTGTGGGTTTTATTTTGCTTTCTCCTTTCTATCATAGACTCTCATATACTAATTATAGCAAAGATTAATTAAGTGATTTGGCAAAGAACAAAAAATTAGCAACGCTAATCATGTGATGGTTCACAAGTATTGCATGTAGCAAACACCAATCATTTGATGGTTCAGTGACGGGATTAAGGCTTTAGATACTGCATTGCGTGCAGCAACACCAATTATGTGATGGTTCAGTGACGAGATTGGCTTGGGATACTACATTTCATGTAGCAACACCAATCATCTGTTGTTTCAGTTATAGAATTGGCTTGGAATGCTGTCACCGTGGCGGTGGCATCGCTAGCGCAAGGAAATTTGCCTCCAAGAGCTGGCAGCCTGGCACTGTCATATTTTTTTTTTTCATTCATTTGTGTTATCTGGAACTCCGCCTATGTAAGTTTATCTTACATTGCCGGTCCCAAGCCCGGATAAAGGAGGAGGGGGAGGGCGTCAGGTAGTCGACAGCCGGCACTCCATGATCACGTCGAATCCTTATGAAAATTTGTGTTATCTGGGATAAAATCTTGTGTTATCTGGGATAAAATCTGAGTGACTGTATTTCTTTGAAGCAAAAATATGAAGAAAACAAGTATGAAAGACGAGGACGAAATTTCGAACTCCATGTACAAATAAAATTACCATACAACTTACATCCTCCTAAACCATACAACTTACATCCTCCTAGTTTCTGCGAAACGTTAGATGGAATGGCGGCCATCTCCTCTATCTTTCACCGGTCGCTCATCCTGAATTTCTTCCAAATCTTCATCGTTTCCTTTCTTGCCTGCTTGTTCTTTCCAATATGCAACCAACTTCTTCAGCCGCCTGATCTCTTTTGAAGAAACGTTTTAGCTTGGATCATTCACGATTGACCATACTCTTGATGCATATATATTTGAATTTAGCATAAAGGTGTGAAGAAATAGTAGTCATTACCAATTTATGATAAGTTACATAAAACTACCTCAATTATAGATCGCATCACAATCTCATACTTAAAATTTGATACATTGCAATATCATGTCTCAACTTATGAATTTGTGACAATGTCAGACATCTGTTAATTAATCTGTTGGATTGATTGTTAAGTGATGACGTGATAAATGTAGAGTCATATTTTACGGATGTAAAAGACCATTTAGATAAAATAAATAAAATTATAAAATAAATCAATTAATAAAAAGTAAATTTTAGGGAACTTTAACGAAAAACACCCGGTACTGTTCACTTTAACGAAAAATCACATTTTTACACTAAAAAGTCAATCCTATTACTATTCATTTTATCCTTTATTTTGTCCTTATCATTAAAACTCAAAGTTTTCAAACCCTTTTCGTTAGTTTTCTTTCAATTTTATGCCAAAATAAAAAGGTTAAATAAAGAGGAGTTGCCCACCCCAACCAGGCTTTTCAATGCAGAGAATAACCCCGGCCCCTGTTTCCAAGGACATTATTAAAAAAACACCATATTGCATAGTAAGATAGAGATGAATGATTAGAAAATGTGTTTGTCAGACCATAGAGCTTGAGGGAATCACAGGATACAGAATGTCCCTACGGACTTTGCACCTACAACGTTCGGACGATGTGATCCTACACAGAAAGAAAAAAAGGATATCCAGACAGACACCCAAGTGCCATTGCCAAGGTCATAGATTTAGAAAATACCTTAGCATGTTCTAACTCTTCTAGAGGCAAAACGCCAGCTCCTTCCGCCATAACAAAGCCATCACGGTTCTGTCCAAAAACCAAAAACAAGATTTCGTTAAAAACAGCACCTGTTAAACGTTTCAAACTCATTCTTTCGCAATGCAATAACTTTGCACTTGTTAAACGTTTCTAAAATTAAGAAACTCAACTCTCAAGCTCAGTAGACATGACTAGGTTTAGTTATAAACTACGACACATCATTTCATAAAAGCTGACTAGATTCCAACACAAATTTACATTTGAGACAACCAATATATGACATGCCCTTCGATTATTTTTACCATTCTTGTTCTTAACAATATTTACAGAAGTTTCATCATATAACCAATCACGGTGGAAGTCAAAGAATAAATGAATCTAGCATAGTTATTGGTCGCATTACACTATCCCAAGGGCGTGATGCTTTGGTCGGATCATTGTTTCTTTGTGACAGTGCTCTGCATGCCACAAAGCCTCCCAATCCTCCAGTAATTGCATAAGAACAAGATTATTGTACGTGCAACTTGAGTAGAACTAAGAAATAACATTTGCAAAGAATGGGAGCAATACCAAGAGCATAAGGTCCTGCGTCAGATTTCAAAGAAAATTGTATATCAGTTATTATAATATACTTAAAGATCGATCGTTCATTAGTATATCATTATTTTCAATTTTGCATCTAAACTACCAGACCCTGCGTAAAGCGGAGCCTTGTGCACTGGGTACGACTTTTTTTTGCATCTAAACTACCACTAAATTACGTCACGTTGTAGGAATACTTATTGCATTGGCTTTAATGATATGATTTGCCGAATTCAAAGTACAGAAGCTGCTTATAGCACAAGCAGTAGAGGTTGAATAGTTTGGGACCATCCAACCCTGCAAGTGTAAGAGTAAATATCAGTTAAAAGGAGAAGTACAAAATCAGCAGCCATCACGAATTGTAAGAGTATTGCATCGAATATATATATATATATATATATATATATATATATATATATATATATATTATAATCTCACAAGATCCATTGCGAGCATGGCAAAATCCATATTTGTGGTTGTGAAAGGTACACAGAAAGGGTTCACCTTCTTATAGGAAAACCGTAAAGCTTCAATTGCATCATAAAAGACCAGTTCAATATCAAAACACAAAATGGATTTATCAAACATGACTGAAGTGATGAAAAACACGTCAGATCTTGTCCCAAAATCAGATTTTGTGGATCATTGTGAGATTATCTGGTAATTTCTGTGAAAAGAATCTTTTGTGTTTACAAAGATGTTTTACTACAGGAGAGACTGAGAGGTACTGATACACTGTCTTAAATTAACAAATAAAGAACATAAACAAGTCCAGTTCTGAAATCAGAGAAACTAGTTTTCGTGCATCTCCACCAAAAATGACATTTGGAGGATTACAAACTCTAAACCATGCTCGCCAAAAACATCCGAATCATGACCGAGTAGGGTCACCACACTCGTTCCTGTCACGACTCACAACCACTCGCCGCTTTCTTATTAAAGGTTTCTTCTGTTTTGTTAATTCTTCAGTAGATTTCACAGCTACAGCCAAGGTTTCCTCTATATTTCCACCGACAACAATGATATATACTGCGTGCATGTCAGATAATGTATGCGATTGCGATATCAATGTGACAAAGTCAAGGGTGAGAAACGCTCAATGCGACCTCCAATCTTCAACAATTACCGAATTTTATTTATTTATTTTTTGAAAACCAGCAGTGTTTCATTGAAAGACCAAATGGTCGAAGAGATGTACACAAAAGAAAGATCAGGAGGTTCTTCAGACCAAGAACAAAAACCATTATAAAGAAGTTTGAGCGGGCTAGATGGTGCGCTGCTTCATTCACTTGACGACATATTGTTGGAATTTAGTTTGGAATTTAGGTTGTTATCTTGCGGGCCAAGGATTAGTTACTTGCCCATTAAGTATTTGAGTTTGTTTAGGATTTGGCTTAGGGTTTTAGTCTAGGGTTTGCTTTGGTCTTTCTCTATATAAAGACCTCTTTGTTTTGTTTCTGAATTCATTCAATAAAGCTATGTTTTTCCGGTATACTTTTCTACTTGGTATCAAGAGCAAGGTCGGTATCTCGGGAACCACCACCATGCTGTCTGCCAGAATTAGCCCAACAACACAGCCACTTTGATTCCGCATCAGTCGCTCGTACTTTGATTGTTGCATCAGTCTGCATCTGCATCAGTCCGTTGATATTTGCATCTGCATCTGGACCGCATCACTAGCACCGGATCACCCTGCATCACTGGACACGTCCGACTACAACCTGTTGCGCCGACTTGAATTTGCATCTGCTCAGATCGCTGCAAT